AATTGTATTGCATATTTGAGCTTTCTTCTTACTTTTTTGAAAAAACTGATTTAATATTGATTATAAAACTGCATATGATTCAGAGGTGTTCTTTTCTGTTTCATCTTTCTTAAAAGAATAGTGACTGATTGTTTTTTAAAGATTTATTTATTTATGCATACAGAATTGGGGTGTAGGCCAGAGGTGCAGGGGTGGTCAGAGGATTCATCAGAGACAGTGTGGGGAGCAGAACAGGCTGACTGACGAAGTACACTGCTGAGGGGAGCAGCGGGTGGGTCAGGAGAGGTCTGCTGCGTCTGTGGGACACCTCCGGGGCTGGGGGTGGAACTCTTGCTCAAATGGCTTTAGCTTCTTAGTGCTGTGCTTTAACCCCCTGCACCACCAGGGAGGGCAGACTTCAGACTTTGATTTTTAATAGTTAAAACTGTAACTTTTGTGTTTTCTGTTTTCTAGTTTATAAAGTATTTCCCAGTACTTTATAGTTATCTGTCTTTATTAGTTACATATATATTACTATCAGTTTACTTCTGATCTACATTTGAATGTTGAATGGGAATTAAATATTTGAAGTGAACATGCTTCCTCCTTTCAAATTTATCTTTTTTAAAATTTTATTTATAAAGTGCTTCCACTTAGATTTAATATGTTATCATATATACCTTTTTTTCTAAATAAATTAGTTTTATAAAGGTAACTGACATTTTTCACACATTACTTATTAATATGAATGTATTTTCCATTAGTAGTTCAAAATATTTATTTTTCTACAGATGGTGAAGCAATGACCCAAATTAGTTAGTTAAAATTCTTTGAAAATATTAAAGCAAAGGCTACAGTAATGTAATTTAAACTAACCTCAGCTAAAACAGTGTAGAATTGTCAAAAGGTTCAAATGTTTTATGCTACACAAAGAATATATAACTTTGAAATATTGAGTGCAATATGAACGTGAATAACTCACAAATTAATACTTGTTTCTGTGACAAGACTGCTAGGAATGATTCCTGGGACTTGATGGACAGTCCACTAAAAAGAAAAGTGGAGGGGTCAGACACAGGTCAGCCATCCACCAAATAGTGATGAAATATAGCAAACTAATCTAGAATTGAAAGGGTCAACAAGGTGCCTCAAAGATTTATCTCGATTCAATTGAATTTAGAATTTTATAACATAAAAAAATTAACAAAATATCTGAAACTCATTCTTAATAGTGACTTATTTATGCAGCTCTGTGATAATACAAAGATTGTGTGTAAGGGTTGCCCATTATGCAAATATGGTGGGTATCTTATGCAATGTAGGTAAGATAAAGAAAGATCCTATCTAGAGATGATACCGAGTTAAGCTGAACAGCAGTAGAAGAGCTTCCTGTGTGGTTGCTTCCAGAGCTCTCTTATTCTTGAACCCTGGTTACCTATCAGAGTCTCTCATAGGAGAGACAAAAACAATATTAGCCTGTGCGTTTCTCTCTTTCCTTACCTTTTATTCTGGGCTCTAGATGTAGATCATGGATTCTCAGAATCTTTAAATTCCAACTTTCTCAATAAGAGATAAATCTCTTTCTTTCCAGGGATATCAAAACGTGCTCTTCAAAAGATCAGACATTTTCTTCTAAATTTCAGGTAATTATTATTTACCAAATATTCATTCTGTTTCTCAAGATGTGTGTGTGTGTGTGTGTTTTGAGAATTCTGAGGAAAATGACATTGAAGAAAACTAAAAGTATATATATTTGAGGACAGAATGTTAATTTAATATGCGGACATATAGAGATTTTCTTACAAATTCTATATATGTATATAAGATTTTCAAATAATCTATACTTATAATTTACATCTCAGTGTCATTTGAAAGAAAAGGTATAAAATATGGCTTATCAATAGGGAAAGAGGACATAGAGTAATGACATAAAGAACATATTTAAAAAGGGAGAAGATAGGAGGGACATCATGTGAGTGACCTTAAGAAAGCTATTTGGATATTATTTATTTTTAATTATTATTATTCTTTTATTACTTGATGTGACATTTTATGGCACTTTGGAATTTTTTGGTTATATGAAATGTGGATTTAAATGAAATAATCAAGGAACTATGAAGTTCAACAAAACTAAATCATAATCTTCCCACAGTACATGACTTTTAATGATCCGTATCTGCATCTATTGTTTTCCAGTGGAAAAATAACAAATGCTTCACATTGATTCCTTTCAAATTCTGTAAAATGTTGTAATGAAGAAAAAATGATTTCCAAATTTCATCAGAACTAGACATTACTCACTATCTAAAATAATATCCTTGAAGATAAACTTAGTGTTTTTCTCAGGGCAAGAAGTCAAACAATTACGGCAAAACAAAGAATAGCAGGACATATCAAGGACTTCATAACTAATTGAGGAGACCAATGCCATCAAGATAATAATAAATAATTCATAGAAATAGTGAGTAAAATTAAGGGGAAAGTACACTTGAGAAGGATGAATTTCAGTAAAATTATGCAGGTGGCAGAAATAATTATGCCATATTGAGAAAGAAGCACGCCAATGGAATTATGAGAAAATAGAGGAAGGTTAAATTAATGGGGAGACTGAAGAGCAGGAAAGAGCAGGGGAATGTGAGGAGGGCGTGAACTCCAGACTGTTCAGATAAACTTCATTCCAAGGGTGTCAGTGAAGAAACTGACAGCTGGTGCATTTTTGTACATTATTGAAAGACATCTTTGTCACTCACAAATAGATTTATATTTTAATATTAGATTATAAATGTGAATAGAAAACATTAAAGATTTCAGAAATGACTTGTCATAGCAACTAAAGAAATGACTTGATAAAAATTCATATTTTTTCTTTCTTAAATATTTACATATTTGGGATTACATCCAAATTGCTAGAACTTTGAAAACGTTCAATCGGTATTTTATTCAATACCCATTGTACTTAGTAATTTCATAGTTCACAATCATTGACTATATACCTTTTCTGTTCTTTTTGTCATCTTTTTTACTTTTCAGTTATGAATGAAGTAACTTATTCTAAAGCACGACGGCCGTGTCCAGCGCCACCCCAGAGAAGGCAAGAAGCTCAAAGACTTAACGTAAAAGATCTATCAAGTTATTCACATAAAGGTTTGTGTGCTTTCTACATTTTCTTTTTAAAAATTCATTACAAGATTACACAAGATCATACAATATCATGTTCACATACACACACATGTGCATCCATATACACATACAGTTTAAATGTTTGTCTTCTCAGACAGGGAAAATAAGCACCAAAGAGTTCAGATGAAGGCTTTTACTTTATGAAGTAAAGTGGAAACATCAACTCAGTTTTTTGAATTACTGAAAGACTTGTTAAATGGCTTATATCATTTACCTTTTTCTGTATTTTAAGGCATCAACATATATGATAGTTTGAGAAGCAGAAAAATAGGAAATATTCAGATACTTTGATTTTCTTTTTATTCTTGCTTGGATTTGAGGGTCATTGTTTTCTCGATATATCTTTTAGCCAGCATAAAGAAATAAAGTATATCTTCTATATTTGTCATGTTTCTAAATTTACAATCCTGATATGCTATCTCATGGAATATGAATAGATGACATTTGACAATCTATCATTGAAAATTTACTTACCTTTATATTCTAAGTGCTTTGAATTTGTATATGTCTAATGTTTTTAATCAATATATGGATAGATTGATTAGAATGAATAGAATGACAAAATCTATCATTGAAAATTTACTTTCCTTTATATTCTAAGTGCTTTGAATTTGTATATGTCTAATGTTTTTAATCAATGTTTTTAATCAATATAATCAATATATGATTAGAGTGAATAGAATGACAAAATCTAATTAATTTGACATATTTAAATGGATATTCATAAATATGCCTAAAATGTATTATAATCTTTCCTGGTTCCTCACTTATTACACTGAAAATTTTTAGATTGTTGATACTGCATTTTACTTATGTGATTATTATTTATTCATGAGGAAGTATCTTGTAATTTCACCAATTGTATTTTTAACAATTAAAAAATATTTTACACTATAGTCTGCATGTAATGTATTCAGATTTTTTAAAAAAAATTACCCAATGAACAATCCAACTTACAAAGGACTTTTATAGAAAAATTTACCAATAACAAAACAAAGTACACAGAAGTATTTGAAAGGAATCCCAATTTTATGTTTGCTAATGGGAAGTGAAGAATCCATTATTTCTTCTATAGAGACATCTGTCTTCATCAAAGTTCTGAAATCAGGACTTTTAGGTACCGGATGGATTTGACGCTTATTCCTCAAAGGCAGACATTCATCACCTTCTACTTAACCAGCAGGGCAGTTTCTCAGATTTATAAACTAAATCCACTAATGTGTCCATCCATGTGGACTTTCGCTACAGAAGAGGGCCTCTAGGGTCTTTTTAAATCCCCCCACTTTTCATGAGCACCCAGTGGAAATCAATAGATTCTGTTGGGAAGAGAATGATCTGTTTCTTCCCTGGGCCACAGGGAGATAGAATTCAGTTTAACAGCGCCTTCTCTGGTAGTGCAATGGGTTAACTCACAGCACTTTGAAGCTATTAGCAGCAGCCTCAGAGAAAGTTCAATACTTGGCCAGGGAGGTGGGTGACCCACACGGTGCAGCAGACCTCTCCTGACCTGCCCACTGCTCCACTCACCAGTGTACTTCATCGGTCTTCTCCTAGTCTGTCCCCCCGGTCTGTCCCTAGTCTCCTCTCACCGCACCTGCACCTCCGGCCTGTACCCTAGTTCTGTATACATAAATAAAATAAATCTTTAAAGAAAAAATAAATAACATACTGTTTTTAAATTGCGTTGTCACACTCAAAATGGATAATGACTCCATAGACTAACTTGTTTTTTCCTACTTTAGGATGTGAACAGTGACGCGTTATTTTCTCCACCCAAAAGAGAAACTGAGCTCAGACAAACATTTAGAGTTGATTCACAGGTTTACTTTTCTCTTCCCTAGGTCCCTCTGCACCCTCTTCTTCATGGAAAGTCCTTGCCGTGGTTCTGGGGCTCCTCTGCCTGGCGCTGCTTGCGGTTGTTGGGTTCTTGGCCTACAAGTGTAAGTCACTGGATAAAATAGAAACACATGTGCTTTTCTACTAACATAGTGACATCTGTTGAAGATAATGCATTTTTGATCCCTTTTATGCCTGACCTAGTAAAATGATTTCTGCAGAGACTATTGTAATTTATAGACACATTAAAATGTTGTTTATTTTAAAGTATATCACTAACTTTATACCTATTAGTTGCCATATTTGCTTTACCCGAAATTTTCCTTCCTTTGCTTTTGAAAGTTATTTTACTTAACTGTACAAAGTTTGCTCCCACTATTACAAGAATAAAATTTCCTTGTATATAGTTGCTGTATGAATTTGTCATATTATAGTTTGATTCTTTTGTTTATATCTCTACTACCCTGAACTTGTCAATGCAAATGTTTCACTAATCACTTTTGTTTTTCCCATGTAAATATAGTGTCTGGCAAACAGGATTGTCCAACTAATTTTGTCTTTAAGGTTGAAATGATCTTTCTGATTTCTCTACAGTTATTCAGAACTCATATAGTGAAAAAAAACACTCCTGCAAAAAGGAAGGAGATAAAAAAGGTAATCTTAGAAGTGTCTGGGTCATGATTTATTTGTAGGAGTTGAGAAGTCACTTGTTATCAGCTAATTTTGCTTGATACACATAGCTGTATACGTGTAAGCAGATACCAGCAAAATCAACTTAAAAGACACAGCATTTCTCATAGTCTTACGTATTGTTAAAGACATAATTAGCAAATATATTTTCTAATTGGCTTTATTATATGATTCTTCAGTTGGCAACATCTTTTCTAGAAAGGACCTGCAGCGGCAAACACAATGGATGGTTTTTATAGACAGAAATATGGTGGGACAAAGTTATTGGCAAAAGGATTTAAAGATTTAGGCCAAGTCACTTTCCATTAAGGAAAGTTAAAGGTGCCTCATCATGCATATACTCTCAATACAAATACAACTGGTTCATTAATGATTATTTTCTATTTCCTAAGTAGGAAGGAGATGGTACACAGAACTCTCCAGTGACTTTTTTCTTTGAGCTTAAATATATATTTTTTTCTGAATTATTTCCAGTGAATCAGAACTCAGTTAATGCAGGTGGGCGGCCAGGAAATATCTCATGTAACAAGGAATCATACGAAACAGGTAATTTTGGGAATACTTTAGTCAAAATTTTATTGGTGGGGGGAAAGAGAATTTACTTTGCAGAATGCATTTTACTTCATACAACCAACTATACACATGTTATCAGCAATGAGGAAAATCCACTTTATCTAATTGGTTTTATTAAATAATTTATATATTGGGCAAGTCCTGTCTAGCAAGGAGAAAGAATCTATAAGGACTTACACAAAACTGAGGTTTTAAAGACAAAGGGTGGGCTAGTGTTATTGCTAAAGGCAAGAAAGATGATTTCAGCAAAGCTGCCTTCCATTGGGGGAAGCAATAGAATGATCCAGGAACTCAGTTGGAGTCCCGGAGATGGACTGGTTCAGAATTCGGAACTTTTGAGAGAGGATGAAACTATAATTGGAAAGTTATGATATCTTGGGACCTTGTATGACTGGCTTCATTGTGGATCTATGTTTCTTTTCCCTTTTAAACTTTTAAGAAACTGTATGTCTATTGTCTATATTTTAGTTTTCTGTTATCTTTCTCATTTTGTGGTTTAAAACACTATCTTCATGCATTGTTCCCTTATGCCTTGTTACTAATCTGGAACCCAAAACATTTGCATGGAAATTAATTATGAAAGTGAGATAAATTTAACAAAATTTACGGGCTTGCAAATGTAATGTGAAACAAATACATTCTGTTTGTAGATAGATAACATCTACATAGCATCAATAACATCTACATAGCATAGATTTGTTGTGTAAACTTACTAATGTAACTTGCACTAAAGGAAGGGATTCATGAATGCTCTATCTATTTTTGGCAGTTTGGAAAAATTCTGTTTGTCCACCCAACTGGTATCAGCATGGAGGAAACTGTTACTTTTTCTCAAGAATGATGCTTCCTTGGAATAAGTGTCCTGATAATTGTGCTAGTTTAAATTCAAGCTTTGTTAAAGTGGATACTGAAGAGGCAATGGTAAGTATGAGATTTTGCTTTTAAATTTTAGTGACTTTTGTTTTGGAGAATTTAAATAGGACAGCAATTATACATACTCATATTCCTCTAAAACAGCTTATATGACAGTCAGATAAATCTTTGCAAATTGACAGTTTTAATAAATGTTTTTGGCTTTTGTGAGCACTTAGGATAAAGTACAAATAACACCTTTAAGTTATTTTTTAATTCTGACTTACCTGTGTCCTGGCCTCCGCCACTGAGGCTCCGCCGGCCCCTGCTCTGGGCAGCTGCCTGGGCTCACGGCCATGAGCTTCTTCACATCCATGAAGGACCCTGTGCTCCTTCAGATCTTTGTTCCTATAATTGTTTCATATGCTGTGACACATTTTATCTTCTCTATTTCTTACCTCAAAATCTCTTCTCTTGGTTAATGCATCTTCTTTTTTAAAGATTTTAACATATTAGACAATTCCTTCAAAACCATCCTAGGCCCAGCACAACCTGATAAACCTCTGCTATTTCTTCTCCTTAGATTCCCTATTTCAATTTCATGACATGTATCACCCAGTACTATCTAGAGTAATAAATGTTGTTTTGTTTTTTGTGTGTCTAGTAAGTGCTATACCTATGAGGTTTATTGGTCATTTTTACAACACCAAAATAAAAAATGACTAAAATGTAATAGAACAAAAAATTTGCCCTTGAATGAAGTCATTATAAGTAATTGATAATCCAAATCTTGTGTAAAAAAGGCTACAATTTATCCTTTCACACTCTTTTCATGTAATAAAACACACTGTAAAGGGAAACTAATAAATGAAATAAAGCTACTTAAAAATTATACTGATTTTCCTCAAGGAAATTTGTACTTTCTACTTTCTGCAGGATTTTGTAATACAATTGTCAAAGTTACAGTGTGAAATGCGTCAAGAAAAGTTTTTCCTCAGTTTAGCCTATAAGAACCAACGACAAAAATGGGTTTGGCTTGATGGCACAGATTATACCCTGAACAAGTAAGTCTCTTGTTTTAAAATTCCAGACTGGAAATATATTATTTTCTTCCAAATCTAAATATTTACTGGACATCTGCATACAAAAGTTAGATTGTATACAGATGTAGCTATTAGAAATCAGCCAGGAAAATACAGGATAAATGCAAGAAAGGAAGCAAAAGATTATAGTATCTTCTAACTTGCATAATTTTTAACTTGCATAACTCACTTAATTACTCATAAGTAATAGAAGATACTCTGAAATTGTTGAGGTCATGGGATATGTCAAAATTAAAGACCTTGGCATTATACCAATTTCAGAGTTTATGTTTGATTTTGAAATGCATGTTATTTTTTAACAGTAAAGAACGAGGAACACTCGTTCCCTTTTTATTGGTATTAAAGTGCTACCTGTCTTAAAAATTCAAATACTATTTAAAACAAATTCAGCACTTAATGGACATTATTTTCTCCTCTAGGCTTCTTCCTAGACCTAAAAATGCTGATAATACATGCATTTATATGACGAATGGCCGGCTGAATACTGTAGGTTGCCAAAGTGAGGGCTACTGTGTATGTAAGAAGAACCTTTTTTAAGATTCGAAAAATCCATGAAATGGAAAGAAACTGATCATTTAAGATTCCTCATGATGGGCCCTCCCTGGTGGTGCAACAGATTAAAGCACACCACTGAGAAGCTGCCTCAGCCGCTTCAGCGCGAGTTGGATCCCCAGGCAGGGAGGTGATCCACATGGCACAGCAGACCTCCCATGTCTCGCAAGCTGTTCCTCTCGACAATGTAACTCACCAGGCTGCCTGCTCCATTCCCCACTCTGTCTCTGGTGAATGCTCTCCGTGTCCCTTCACAGATTCCCCATGGCAATGACTTCAACTATGTTAACTATTGATTTAGTTGAAAATCGATGTCATACATTGATGCCCATATAGTATTTTTTAATTTTACTTCATAATACCTAACTGTAAACAAACAACAAACACCACATCAGTAACATAAGAAATAATAAAAAGGAAAAAAGTGTGAAAGAACATTATTGGGACTGAATATTACATAGAACCCTCTCTGTTGGGAAAGAAGTATTGAGTAATTTTAAGATACACTGGCAGAATCAAAGTAAGCCTGATAAGTGCAGTCACATACATTAAAAAATATATATATATATA